GTATGTGTGTGTACAGCGTGTAAGTATACATGTAAGTGTATGTGTGTGTACAGCGTGTAAGTATACATGTAAGTGTATGTGTGTGTACAGCGTGTAAGTATACATGTAAGTGTATGTGTGTCTGTGTGCACTAAGTTTAGGCCCAAAAGTGGAAGGACAATTGAGACGTCTAAAAAAAATATATGAATTTGCATTTCGCAATTCTAGAGCAGCATGTGTATTCCCGTGCCTTGGTTTTATTGATTTCCTTTATTTAGCGACGAAACAGGCACATATCGAAACCAGTTGCAGGACTAACAGAATTAAATCGTGATGAAAAATAGATCTATCTATCCATCTATCTAGCTAATTATCTATCTATGTATTTCTCTATCTATCTATCTATCTATCTATCTATCTATCTATCTATCTATCTATCTATCTATCTAACTTTCTCTCTATCTATCTGTCTATCTATCTATTTTTCTATCTATCTATCTATCTATCTATCTATCTATCTAGCTAGCTAGCTATCTAGCTAGCTAGCTATCTGACAATGTGTGTTTCATTTCCAAAAGTCGAAGTTATATCCAGTATCTCCGTCTATCTGTTTGGACACTGCGTCCCACTTAGCCCGTTTAACCCTGGCAGGCAGAGTCGAAAGAAAGATGGGGGTCTGTTCTAGTCAGCATAAAACATTTATAACCATCTACAATGAATCACTGGCCCATACATTCGGAGTCGTGCTAGTTGGTAAATTCGCTAGCCAGACTCGTGTTGTTTTATTTCGTATCTGTTCTGTCATTGAAAGATCTCTGGAGTTATGTTTCCTCTGTTTTGATTGGAGATACATATACTTTTGTTATCCAAAGTTTGATGGTGGATTCCGTAAGGAAATACTATTGTTGAACTTGTATTGTATGATTGATATCTATCGGAGTTTTTCTTTTTTTTATGTCAGCTCTGATCCTTTGCTTTTTTTACAAGAGTTCCGGTACAGCTTTCTGATACCAAAGTCCAATCTCTTTTAATATAATTTATTTTACAGATATCAAACACAGACCTTTAATCTTCGGACACTAGAGAGGAAGAGAGCAAGAAGTTACTTTCGTCTCTGGTGAATAACTGTGACTATGGCGTCATCAAGCGACCTCATATTCTTTGTCAACGGCAGGAAGGTGAGACCATTGTAGTGCATGTGTACAATAATGTATTTTTTTTTAAATTGGAAAAAGTTATAGATCAACATGAAAAGTTGCTTTAATGGAAATGAACAAGTAAGGTAAAAATAAAGGACATTGTGGGGTTTAGTGAGGTAGAAGATAAATATGTTCGAGGTAAACGCTGTTTGTACAGTTTTGGCCACGTTACACTGGTAGAGAACTACCTTTCATCTTGGGCGAAAAACTGCCTGTCCTGGACTTAATTTTTGTTTTGTGTTGAATGAATTACTAATCATGTGGAGACCTCTAAATCTGAAACCTATTTCAGAACCTATAACCTCTATTCAGGCACACATTCACGCACTTTGGGAGTAGACTGCGTTGAAAAAATGAACTATCAGTGCGTTTTGTACCTAATGTAAGCCTTACGTGACCCAACCAATGGTGAAAACCCCGGATGTGTGTACTAGGTCAAATAAGTTTCGAAAAGAGAGCTAAAGTACCTATACGTTTACCAACGTGAATCACTCCATCGCCATTAAAATGTCCAAAATTATGCGGTTAGGTTTATTTCTAAGAAGAACACCAAAAAATCCCAAACTACTCAAATCCCAAAGAGCTACATTGATGGGTTGTTGAATCCTTATTGTGTACACAGTCTGTGTCTCCTGTTATAGATGTTTGAATAATATCGAATTGGCCTATCACTCCAGTACCCTTTTAAGTATGAACCAGCAAGAAGTCTTAGAGCATCAAGCGGCAAAACAATTTAACTCAAACCATTAGTGAACACACATTTTATAGACAGTCTTACCAGATTTTAGCCGCATTGTGTTGAGTTAACTGGTTATCCAATATCCAAGCCCATGTCTATGACTTATTCGTCCAATCAAGCATCTCGAAGCGCCCACGTGTTAAGACACATGGTTTACGATGTGGCGTGATGCAGGTAGGGGGATCGGCATTTCAGCACTGATGATGCATATACTCTGTCCAAAACCAATAGAGGAGTGAGATTATTAAGCAATGTCCAGTATACGATAGTCGTGATAAAGCCCACTAATATAAAGCTGGGCGTTTGAATGAATACATAAAGAGAGGGGCATAAGGTTGAACGAAACCTTCATAAGGACAAATCTAGCCTAAAACGGAGGTTGACACCCTTATATTACATTTTTATACAGATGCACAGGGGCCCTCCGTTAGCACAGCTGGTATCATGTATTATACTACGGAGCAGATTAGTAGGCCTTGGTTCGAATCCCAGATTGAACGATCTTAAACTCGATCCTTTTGTGGAGTTTTTCAAGCCTCTCAACCCATTTGGCTTAGACATATTGGGGACGGACGTCAAATTTGGAGGCCCTGCTCTTTTTGAAAAACTTGGTAGGGAAGTTAAACCCATACGCTTACTTACTTACAGTTTCACAGATTACATACTGTGCCTTATACATCAAACAGAGCTTTCTAACTCATACTTTTGTGTGTTTTCTGCACAGGTTGTCGTGAGTAACCCCGACCCAGAGATGACCTTGCTGTTTTACCTGCGCTACAAACGTATCCTTGGGTTCAGTTTCCGGCCTTTTGCATAATTAGCAGAATGAGAAAACAGATAAAGAGTACAATAAGCTCTACGAAACAGCTATTGCAGTATATTATTATGTATAATGTACAAGTGTACAATGTTGTGAAAATTGATCATAATCACTTGTGAAAGTCAGAAACACAAAACATTAGTACTACTCACTTCCAAAATACGGACTCGGAGACACGGTTTTTTAATACTAAAAACAAGCTGTATTGGCAGTAATCGTTAAAGAAATGTGCATTTCGGCTCATACACCCCCTTCCCCCCCCCCCCCTTACAGAGAATAAGAATTACAATCAAATCCCCTTTTATGTCACGTTTTGCTGCATTTTTTACCTTCTGTTATTTTACCCACTTCTGTGACATGTCACAATATGCGATAAATAACACTGTGGTATGGCAAACGCTAGATATTCTGGTTCTGTGTTGACGTTCAGGTGTTGAATACTTTCTGTCGTTCCAATTTCTGTTTCATTTTTGTTCCAGTCGCTTTATTTTCATTTGTAGATTTCACTGGCGTCGCGTGTGTGTGTGTGTGTGTGTTGGGGGGGGGGTGTATGTGTGTGTACAGCGTGTAAGTATACGTGTAAGTGTATGTGTGTGTGCAGGTCTCTCTCTCTCTCTCTCTCTCT